CAGTGGAGGAGGAGGATGAAAAAAATATTTCAGTGCCAGCACTGGTCTGTGACATGTGGGTGGATATTGAAGATGTTATTAGTATCACATTTATGGGCTTTATAAAACTGCCACAGAGCTGGCCCGTTTTAATATATCTTCAGCTGATATGTCCCACACTGTCATATGTGTTGCACTTCTAGCAGCTGCGTGGATGATCACTCAGCGATAGCAAAGCCATTACTTGCATTTCATTTCTCAGCTTTCTTTGACCCTCCTGCTGTGTTTTAGTCTACAAATGATTTCATGTATTTTTTTCAATATTCTGTCATATATTTTTATAGCAATGCACATCTCCAGTTATTCAAGAATGCAAATTGTAGAGTTGTGTAACACAGAACACAATTCCTCTAAATTGTATGTCAATATCTTATTTGAAATAAGTAGTTCTATTTTATGCATTTATAAATTCAATGAAAAATGTATACACAGTATACATGCATATACAGTATATAAAAAAAGAAGCAAGACCCTGTAGTGTGTTAAAAGGTTTTTGTTCTTGTTTTGTTGACAGACTCCTTACACCCCAAATTTTCATTTAATTTATTTATTATTCAAGATTAACTCCAAAGAAAAATCTATAAAGTTTCTAATTCAAATCTCTTTAAGAGTTATTGAGCCTATTCAAGCCATTTACTATAGCAGGTTGAAAATCATCCAAGCACCAGCTACAATAGTGAATGAAGTGCTTGATTTTGGGAGAAACTGTGGACCTCAGCAAAGCCTTGAAGAAGAAAATCCCAAAAGATAAAAGTCTTCTTTCGAAACAGAGACTGAAAAACTCTCTAGAGATCACTGTCAACAATGTCTGAACCAGTTTGGCAAAAGCAAAACAAATTCAAAAGAGGGAAACACTGTTATGGAGAAAAGTGTTGTACCTGCCAACATGGCACATGGTGAAAATATTGCCAGAAAATGATCCAATGATTCCTTCTTCCTAACTGGAGATTTACTCTCAGACAGCCTCTCTCTGTTAAGTTTTATTTTTTTGTTTATGAAAATATTAATTTTAACTAAAATGACACTAAATTATATTACAGAATTAAAAGACCAGTAACAAACTATATTCTAGGGTATATAAAGCATTTCTGTCTGTCAATCAATGCAATCTATTCATTGTATACCATAATGACTACTGAGCGTTGAATCACAATAACTATCTCGGCCTTATTGCATTTGTTAGTAAATTGTGGTAAATATTGGGTTGCAATATAACATGTTGATTAGACAAACAAAAAATGGGAGTAATGATTTTTAGTCAATATTCTGCTGGAAAATCATACATCTCACATCCATTTTGGATCCGATTTTATACATCCACTATTAAGGCGCTTTCACCCTATAGACACCACTTTATAGACTGTTGATGGCCATAGCTTCTTAAAGTAACAGCAATGAAAACACCACCACAAAGCAAAAAAGGGCCAAAAAGACACAAGTTGGAGGTGTTGATTTGCTGGCTTCTGAATTCCAAGACCTTAACCAATGAAGTTTTGATGAGATGTAAAAGACAAATAAGTCAATGAAGACATCACCTCACCACTTGCAGGATCTAAAATATGTCCTGCAGTTATCTGCTATACATCATGCCTTGATGGATCATGACTGCATTGGAAGCAAAAGAGGAAACAAAACACTATTAAGTAGTGGTTCATAATGTTATGCTGAATCAATGAATGTTATGAAGAAGTTTGCATCCAAGTTATTTTAATTCATCTTTTATGAGAAATTATCTTTAATTTAAAAGAGGTAAACAGCCAGTAGATAAATACACAATAAAAGAAAATATTAAACCCATCTTGATAATGAAAAACACACGTTACCTATTAATCAGTTCCAAATGTCAAGGTTGCTTATGTATATTAGGAAAATTAGTAAGCCTAGAATTAGATTAAATTAAATATTTTCTCTATAAATTTCAGCATTTATTGCTTGTGCTTTATTCATTTTATTTTTCTGAATTGAGGAAAATCCATCTAGATACTTCTTACATCAGACTTCGAACATTAAAATGTTTTGTACTTCACTGACTGTCTACAGTGTGGATTTAGTACTTTTCCTGGAGTTAAGAGTTAGGAATAAGAAAACATTAGATTCATCCACCTATAGCAAAACTCCAGGTCTAACTCGTAATAATCAACAGTTCAGTGTTTTGAGACCTATCTTGGCGATGTCCATGGTGCTGAAAACAGAACTGTTCTGTAGCACTAGGAGAATACTAAATTTGATTTTGCACGTTCTATCACCTTAAACAAATCTATTTGTGGAAAAACCTGCATTATCCCTGTGAGGTCATTAATCCCTGTGGTTTTAGTATTTAATGGAGGTTTTGGCGTTTTGCTTCTTAATCATTTTCAGATAATGCTAAAGCTTCTGTGTGTCCAAAATATGTTCCAACCTGAACATTGAGGAAATATACAAGATAAAAACTTCTTCTTCACTTACAGAAAGGCTGGAAGTAGAGTGCTGTATAAAGCATGGTAGTCTTATCATTATCATGTGTTACTTCCAGTAACTGTTATGAAAGGAATCCTTTTATTATTTTTTATAAAAACTCTGACTAACAAGAAGTATAAGCATGCTTTGCAGCTACAAAGAGCCTCCTACTAGTCAGATAATTGCCATGTTTTGTGAAGGTTCCAAGGATATCCTCCCTACCTAGTAAATGGTTTAACTGAATGGAAACAAAAATAAATAAAAGCAATGAAAAAAATATAAAATTTTTCATACAGTGTACAGACTTTTGATCTAATTAACAATATCAACTATCCATAAAGAGCTTGAGCAAAGTTGTATCTAACAGCCCCTCTAGCTCACTGTAATGATTGATGTGTGCCATTGATGTGGCTTGTGGACTTAAGTGAAAAATTTGCCAATACAGCATTTTACTTAAGGCTATTGTTGATTAAAAAAAAAATAATAATAAAGTAAAATTCAAAATAAAAACACAACAAACATTGAAGAAAGTGCTTTGGCCAGATGAGAAAAGTAAAACATTGACATAGGGTTGTCAAAAGTATCTATACTCAAAAATGTATCGATACTGAAACGTTGTATCTGGATACAATACTCATTTTTAAAAGTATCAATACAGTGCTACCACTAGTGGCACCTAAACAGTGATTTATCTAAAGTGCATTATAGAGGAAAATGCACTTTCTGAACACTGTGTGATTGAATATTTCTGTGTACTTTTTAGTTTCAGACTTTTTTTGTAACAGGTGCAGCTGCTGAGAATGATTTTTGTTTGTTAACCGGTTTGGCTAGTGTCATTGCTATGTGTGCAAAGCATAGCCGAGTAAGGTAAACTTAATTTAATTTTGTAAGTTTTTTATGAAGCTTGCTTAATACTGTGCACAGCAAACAACCTCAAAATGTTGTTCTTATTGTTTATTGTATTTATTTATTGTATTTTAATTATTAATCAAAATATTTCTGTTGAAATTTGGAGTTTTTTTCCTTGTGGTATCGAAAATGGTATTGAGTATCAAATATTTTCCTTAATACCCTACATTGACATGACATACAAAAGGCTTTATGATGGAAAACACTACACGCCACCTTCAGCACACCATACTTATGATGACTCTGGATGACTCTAAATCAGGCTTATATAATCAGGCTTATATAGATCCCATCACACCTAAAATCCAAAATTAGAGCATGCCCATACTACCCTGACAAGGCTTTTATTCTTAATGTGCCCTTCAAAATCATTAGTCCACTTTAGTAGTCAATGCAACATCTCTTTGAGGTTCCCCTTTTGGTGGAAAACCTATTCATTTCAACTATTTCATACAATCGTGGACTCTTCTGTGATCATGTGTTGCATGAAAGGCTCCAAATACTCACGTAGGTGTGTGATTGTAAGAAGAAAAATGTTAAAAAAAAAAAGAAATCAAAAAGCAGCGCAACCCATGGGTGCTGATAACCTGATCATCTAAAATGAACGAAACTCATTCACTGCAAATGAATCAATGCATCTGCAAAGCTTTCCATGCGAGTTACGACAGCACGGCACAATGTTTAACATATTACAGAAGGCATTTTAAAGAAACAAACCACTCCAGCTCCCCGTGACCGTGTGAGTAACATTTTATGAATATTCAACAGGGATTTAATACAGGTAGAAGTGGCAGTTTCGAATTCAACGTGCGTGAAGATGAGAGCGCGCGCTCAACAGATGGCAGAGAGGAACAGACAGGGGGGAGAGACGCTCGGAGGCTCCTTTGCACTCCCTTTTTTTTTTTTCCCCGTCGCGTCCCAGGTTGTCATTCTTGCTAAGCGTCACGCGGGAGCCACCTGCTTGCTTTCCCAAAGGGCGAGCGGCTGTGATGGGGAGTTTTTACGCAACGCGCGCAAAAGGTAGAGCTAAGCTTTGACAGCGGGCCACTGCGGCAGGCGCAGACGAATCGCCGCTATAGTGCAGTTTTGAAAGGGCTTTCTGTTGCACGACGCGTCGCTAGTGACCCCCCCTTCTCTTCACTTGCATTGCACGCTCTTTCATGCATCCTCTTTTAACATTCAGTGGGAGAAGGCGTCCTCTCATTCACTCGGGCGCGCAGCGGCTCACGAAAAATCGCTGTCACCAAATTTCGGACGATGAATCCTGCCAATTAGTTCTAGAGCTGGTTAATCTGCCACATAAGACGTCTATTTTAAACTTAAGAAGATAAGGTGAGCCCCTTTCCAAGCTAAATAAAGTAAACCTACTGTACCAACGCCTCCAGCGACCCCAGAATGGGAAGTGGAAATAACACCGCACGTCTGTGTGGCCACTGCGCAAAGTTCCAGCTCATTTTTATGTGCTAGAATCCTAAACCCTTGTTTCTTCCGTTTACGCACAGGGGATTTTTCAGCTGTCAATTGTCCCACCTGTGTACCATCTCAAAGATCGCACACACAGACATTAAATAAATCCACACAAAGGGAGCCAAAGTTTAGATTTTAGATCCGTTTACCTGGTCGCTGTCAGCAGCAGCAGCAGTTATTTGAGGAGGATGCGATTCCCCGATCGGTTCCGTGGACACAAGTTAAGTTTCCCATCCATGGCACGTCTCAGATGGAGAAGGGGACTATTATTCATTCACGTTTTGCTGCTGCGCCTCACTAATGTTTTCCTTGAGGCATCCCACTTCATCGAGTCCAAAAAGAAAAAAAAAAGAAAAAAGACAGGGAAAAGGAAGAAAGTGTAAAATATAATAATAAACGGTCTAAATAAAAGATCTGCAAACGCTATAGACATGAAATCATAGAACGTGGGCAAATAAAAGAACAGAACAGATGATTAGGGGGGCGGTGGGGGAAAGTAATCCAAAATTATAAACTAAAACGTTGTTACTGTAGATGTCCAGTTTTGTTAAAAAAAGCATAAATCCACGTGATATAATCTCCATGGTTTGGTGCAGAGAGCTGCACGACACATCCCAAATTCACAGTAAGCAGCAGCGCGGCAGCAGCAGTGGAATAACGGCTGTTATTTTGTCTAAAGATGCCCGGTGCTCCAAGTCCAAAGATGCTCTTCATTTGAATCACACGCTAAAAAACACAGAAAGAGCGAGTAAAAAAAAAAATAATCACAAAATGCATTATCTGTCACTCCACAATTTTTATTTCCTCCTCCTCCTCCTCCTCTATGTACTGGGATGTGATGCGTCGCTTGCTCTGGCATCCGGGATGAGGATCCACAGGCAGCGGCTCGCAGTCGGGCATCTGGCTCCCCTGCAGTGTCTTCACGAGCGGAGGACGGAGATGCGCGTTCTCGCTGCCCCTCTCCGCCGGGGATCCGTCAGGCGCGTTCATGATGAAACTCCCCCCCTTCCTCCCCCCATCTCATCGTCCATCCTCCATCTTTTCTCTATGAACGCACACGCGCGCACAGACACACACGCGCATCCTACCATTACTTACGTCAGCCCACAAAGTTTTGAAATAAAGCAAGTGTTTCTAAATGATGTCAAACACCATAAGCTCTTTAAGGGATAATTCTGCATTTTTCTTTATAACATCACCTTTGACTGCTAACATTTAAACGCAAACGCTCTATCAGGTTTACATCTAGACAAAAAGCGTAGGCTTGATATAGGAACAGTGTTGTGTCTGATGTCGTTGGTCCTATGCAAAAAAATGCATGCTTGTTTTTTTATGCTTGATGTGAAAATCAGGGTGTATTTCGTTAAAAGAGAAAAGCAGCATTTCTTGCTACATTTATACAAATTTTATAAGCACAACACACACACTAGATACTGTTTATCAGTGACTGAAACTGATGAATGAGGAATTAGGACTTTTTTCCACTTTAAAAGGTTCGCATTTGAAATTACCAGCAACTAAGACAGAATTTAAATCTATGCCTATTTAAAAGAATATAGTCTAAATATGTTTGCTATATGTGGATTTATACTTTTTTATTTTTGAAGATATTGAATTGTGCAGCGGTAAACAGAGTTTAAATCCCACTCTTACCTTTTAAATATTCTCTCTGTATCATGAAACAAAGTGAAATAATAGATTCAAGGGACGGCAAATAAATGTATTGTGTTTACATGCGCACTGGAACTAGAAAAGGGACTGGAACTGAGCATTTAATATATTAACTTCACTCTACAAGTTGTACATCTAGGCTGTAGTTACTCTGTTTAACCCATTTCATGTATTTTATTTAGGACTGAAACAATTCATTGGATTAATCAATTTTTGAAATGATGTCAACAAATGAATCGATTAATCGTTAGCTGGAGTATAGAGACTCTAAAACATGTCTTTATCTCACAGAGCGACCCACTTAAAGCAGGAATTATACAAAATTTTTAAAAAATTTATTAACATTTTGCATTTTAGATAAAACATGTTTTCGTCTGTCAATATTCTCCATCCAGAACTCCTCTACTGCTGCAACAACGCTTTATTGTAAATTATAAACATGTTATTCATATCTAATTGTTGGTAGGGACAAGTAGGTCGGTCCCAAATTTTGGTAGGGGCATGTCCCTATGGTCCCTATGCAAACCTATGCCCATGCATCTAGATTTGAGGCAGCTTTAATCTGATCATCATAAAGTGTAACTCAAAGTGATTGCTCACACCTTTTGAAATATTGGATCATATGTCAACACCACATAGTCCATAATTATGAAGTCCATGAAAATCAGTTGATTGTTTTAAAATCTTTCCCATCTTAAAATTGTGGCAAGTTTTTTTTTGTAAAAATTTATTCTGATATACCACTGTGTGTATATAGTGCAATCCTTTGGCTTTAAAGTCAGCAAAACAGCAAATAGTGTCTTTGAGTAACTTAGGGTGTATGTGAATATAGATGGTCTATGGCCATGCAGTATAACAGTCAACCTAAACTGAAATACTGCAAAAAGAGAAATATAATCAGAGAGTAAAGAGCCAAAAAGTACCTGGTAGCTCACTGGGATCTGCAGAAATAAACAGCTCAAGGGGGAGAATCTATTGACTTGACTAAAGTCATTCTGCGGAGATGTCAAAACAAATTGTACAAGTTGTACCCTAAAAAGAAAATCCTTTTTTGGAAGAGGTGCTACAAGTTCAGTTTTGTTTGTTTTTTTAAGAAAGGAAAAAAAGTTATATTTCCCCTTGGGACACAGCAAACATCTCAATCAGGTCCTCTCAGTGAGAATAAATAAAATGAAGCTTTTTGGCCTTCATGAAAAATGCTTCATTTAACAGAACATTGCAATGGCAAATCTTTATATTTCTTCCTGTTAAAAGGGAATTTTCTTCTGTCCACTGTTTCCACATGTTTGTATGGGCAAGAGATTGTCACAAAGTTACCCACTTGATGCATGGACTGGGTTTCTTTAAAAAAACAACTTTAACTCTTGTCATTATAAACTGAATGCCACAGATATCTAGAGGTGTATTCACATTTGCCATGTTTGATCCACTTTCAACTAAGCAAATGGGGTTTATGTTAATGGAGTCTTGGGTCATTACTTTTGACCAGGTTTGAATAAGACCAAGTTAACCCTGGGGTCCGTTTCAGAAAGCAGGTTTAACAAACTCAGATTCAAATGCACATCTCTTAATTTATCTAGCGTAAGGTTGGGAACTCTGAGTTTTTGGTTTCATAACGGCTGCTATTAATTAGTTTAATCAACTCTAAATAGGTCCACTCAGAGTTGAGCACCTGCGTTAGAAGTTTGGAAAGACACTATCAGTGGAGCCCAAATTCAATGAGTCACCATCATGACAGGGGACCGGAAGTGCCTCTTTCACCTTACTGGAAGTGGAGATTTTAATAAAGAAATTATGAAAAAAAGAGAATGTGTTTAAACAACAAAGAAATGGCGCTACAGCTGCAATGGATAGGAAAATAGCAAAGGTGAAGGTTGATGCTCGAGTTAATGTGTAGTTTTATTTGAAGTCAGTATGGCAGGCCATTTTTACATTAATTAAAAGCCCTGTCCTCTCTGTTGTTCCATTTGTAGATCAATGACATAGGGTTATTCCTGATTAAAATCATTTCTAGTCTGAACTCTAATAATATATTTTCAAAATTACATTTTTGCAGCAGAAACTGATTTTCAGAAAGTAAA